TAAAGGCTCGTATACTTACGAATATAAATCACTACTTCAAATCAATTAAAAAAAAACAAATAATTTCTTATAATTAGATGATAGAGAATATTTTGATTAGATGAAAAATAAATGTAGATATACTAAATCATTCCATATCAAATACAAAAATGTGGTGGTTTCGAAATTTAGGAAGCAAGATTAAATATTTGAAAAATTATAATGACAAGTACTCTTTTTTACATCATAAAAAATAGTTAAAAATTAGAAATAAATGCGTCAACGCACTACGTTTAAGTAAACATAAGAATGTAACAATTTTAATTAGGTAAAATAGTTTTGTTGGCACAAAGAAAAAGAAATTACAAACTAACATTCACCGTAAACATCTATAATTGTATTGTATTTATTGTTTTGTCATTGATCATCATAATAAGAAACTATAAAGCACCCTTCTACTATACATGGATACGTTGAAAGACTCACAACACAAAGAGATTAGTTAGCAAACACAGACATTTACAAAATCCAAATTATACAATATGATGCTTAATGTATATTTTTTTAATGTCCTAACGACACTGGTTAGCAATATAGCAATGCCGCATCTCATGTGAAACTTGAGCAAAGAATTGGAGCATGGACCATGGACCATGGACCATGGCCCATGCATGCACTTCTTGACAAACGGAAAGAACTAATATCGCACTGAAATTAGATATGTTGAATTTGAATTGGCATCTTGCTATTGGCATGTGTGTGTGTGTGTGTGTGAAAGCAATTGCTGGCCTTGGCAGAGAAAGAGAGGTGAGGGATGAGTTAGTAGTGCCACTTCAAATTGTGGGTCGCGTTAGAGACCCAAAGTAAACGGCAAAGCCTTAAATAGTGCCACTTGAAATATTTGTTTTTCTGTGTGTCAGTGTGTGTGTGTTGTAAGAGAGGGATCAGCTAAGGACATGGGATAGTGTTTCCTCTGCCACCCATCAATAGTTGTTTCCACAAATAATCGGGTCAAAGTCAAATTTTCAAAAGTTTGTATGTCAAATTTCCCTTGCATGTGAACTCCACTCACCCATTAGCCAGAGATATACAGATACATATTAAAAGGGTTAGCTCAAGTCCAAGTGATCAAATTCAAAGGTAGAAATATCAATAAGGTTTTGATTTAACCCATGCCTGTACGATATTTTACTCAAATTATTCTTAAGTATTGTTATTATTTAGAATAAAAAGGAAACTTTTAAGTCAACAATCCTAAGATGAAAGTATTACTAAGTCTTTTGCATATTTTAGCTATTAAAATAATTCTCGAGAGATTTGAATCTTTGTCTTTTAAAATTTTTGTCATTAAATTAATTTTAATCAACACTTTAGCCTTATTAGTTTGATAAAATTTTAGATATTTGTTTCATAGGTTTAATTTATTGATTTCCAATTTAAATTCGTTTCTCGTCATTTTAACTTATTTTAAGAATTTATATGATATTATTTTAGATTTTGAAAGACTAATTTATTGATAAATTAAATTAAGTAAAGACTAATTTGGTGACAAAATCTTTAAAAAAATTAATATGGTAATAACAATTTAAATCTTTGCAAAACTAAATTAATGGCTTAAATCTGTAAAGAACATGCTTTCAGTCTATTCTCATCCAAAATCTAAACACTCACCAACCTCGTTAACTGTATTGTCTCCAGTATTAGTCTAATCACATGATAATTATACATGATTACTCATTTTATTGGTTACCCCTACCCTATATACCAAGAACTCATTTGCACTATCATCTATTGCCATGAGAGCTGATGCGTAAATATATGTTGGCAATATTAAATATATCATGCATGGTAATGTCGTGGCATCTTCTTGGCTTCTTGCCAATATGTCCTTGTGATGACAATTTCATTGAAGATTGTGGAAGGAATTGAACATTGGAAACTTGCACTTGACAAATTCAACTACACGAATATCCTTCCTATATACTATTAAGGGAGCGACTGAATTGGCATTGAAATAATGGTCAGTGTATATACATTTGTAAAATTATTATTTGGGAGCCATCAACGAGACAAACTTTGTCTTAAACTCAGTGTGTTCATTCATAAAATTAAAAATGGGGTGCCAAGTGAAATGCTGATTTCTAAGTGGATTTTTATACTGGACTAGCTCATAAGCAACAAGAAGCAGCCCAGTCTCCATTTATGTTTGAATCAACTCATACTCTATGCTTGGACTTATTTTATTCTAGTACAAGGGATTCGCCTCCTATCTCTAAATTGATAAAGTTGAATAATTTTATTTTAAGAGGTTGTGACATCTTTATAGAACTATCACTTAATATTGGACAACTGAAGAAGCATGAAGAGCTTGATCATAACAAGACTCATTATAACACCTTATTTTTTTAATTAAATGTTTATTTTAATATTTAAACTTTAATACTAAAAAATATGGGTTTAATTTGAGCTTAGAAAAAATTTTAAATTTTAAGAAAAGTAAAAAATAAAATTTTCGTAACACAAACAGAATTGTTAGAGAGAATAGGTTTTATTTCTTGAAATTTTATTTTTTAAGCCTAAGCCTATCCAAAAAGTTAAATGAAAAAAAAATCGCCTAAGAATATTAGAAAATTTTATAAGCTCAATAAGAGCCCAGTTTGAATGTTTTGGGGATCCAAAAATCCTTAAAATTCCCTATAGGTGTGGGGTTGATTTGGGCCAAGGTGCAAAGAGCTAGGGTTTGGGCCATATCATTTGAAGTAAAGGCAACGACTATATATCTAAGTAAGGGAGGAATGATTCTCTAATTTGGTATTGAGGATAGCCTAATTTAATTTTGTGTGGAGTTTCTCTAACACTTGATTTATGCATTGATTTGTGATAATTGTCTCTAATCATATTTGTTCCTGTTATGAATACCCTTATCTTTTCGATACTGTTCTTATTATGGATACATTGATCTTCTTGATATTCCTTTACTGTGAGATAAGGTGACATCCTTGCAAGTATTGTTGATTTTTTTTGTTTAACGTGGAGAAGTGTACATGTACTCTGATGATAAAGTCAGGTGTCAATTTAGACAATAAATATTATTAAATATTCAAACGTCAACCCTTTACCTGTATCTCTTACTTTCCTTTTATAGACAGTATTATAGGTTAATGGGCTTTTTGTAGGTCAGTCTTGACTTTGGCCCTCTAATTAAGTAAATAATAATCTAATTATTTATCCTAATTAGCTTAATTATTTTTTAATCTAACCGAGAGGTACTCGTTCTATTGATGTCAAAGGAGTATTCAGATTCCTTCTTTTGTCATTGAGATCGAATGGTGTTCTATCCAGTACAAATTTAATTTTTATTTTTATTTTACCACACTATTTTAATGGCTAATTTAGTAGATCATAAAATGCACTAAAAAATATTTTTCACATAACTCTATGTAATCTATATCAAAATAATAATGATTTAATAAAATTAAATAATTTTAAAATAACACTTTTATTATACAGTGCAAAAATGTTTTAATTAAATATCAATAAATATTAATAACTATAAATTTAACATATAAAACTCTTAAAAGTAAATTTTCAGTTAAAAAATAGAAAAATTTAAAATGATTTTTATAAATATAAAAATAAGTATTTATAAAAAATTAAAAAAATATATATATGATTACAAGATAGTTAAGTAACGACTTTAGTCTCTAAAATTTAGAACAGAGTTAATAAAAATATTATATCAAGAAAAAAAAATGTAATTCATACATAATTTTTAATCAATTTTAATATTAACATATACGCATAGTAAATTATAAAAAAATATTTTTATTGATATTTCACTTCTTAACTAGTAAACTATCATTTATAATATATAATTTAATTATAAATTATTTATCACAAATCAATAAAATATTTTATTCATTTCGTATATATAATAGAAAAATAACATAATATTATAAAATATAGGCATTCCAAATATATATTACCAAATATAAATATTCCAACAAATCCAACCCCAATGAGAACCATCATCACATTCAGATTTGGAGTATAAGTGGACAATGCATATTGATTGATAATATGAGATTAACTTATATCAATTTTTTATAGTATTAGATCAATATAATTTTTTTTTTAATAATACTTGTTCAAAATATTAGTGCATATACAATGGACATGTATACTCAGTACTACAAATAAAAGGGAACTTTGAGAATTACTATTCATCAAAGTTAAATTATTTTTTATTGTTTTTTTATTATTTTATTCGTGTAATATACTGTTCATCTAAATAAAATTATTTATTTATCTTTTTTTAATATTCACTGAATATAGAATATACATATATATATATAATTTTTTATTCAGAAAATTTTTAAAATTGTCTATATTTTTACAATTTACGATACAAAATATTAATATATAAAAATATTATATTATATTATATAAACCAGAGATGTGAATATTATGTAGTGTACTCTTAAAAGCATGATTTATACGCGAAATGTAATAATTTATTTTAAAAATTTAATTTAGGAGTTACGTTTTTTAAAAGAAATAATTAATATAAAAAATATAGATATTTCTTTTTACTTAATATGTATTATTTTCATGTGTGTGCATGTATATTGAAGTGAGTACAAATTTTATAAAAATATAATAATTAAAGGTGACAAAATTTTATGTATACACAAAATTATATTAATTTGGATCAAATCTTACTAATGATGTGAGAATATAGTTAATAGATGATTTGCATGTACTTGTATAAGTGCTCTTTGAACCTTGAGGTGTGTCTTAACTTACTTAAACTTTTCTTGTAAAAAAATTATTAATTTAGTAATAATTTATTATTTAAATATTGAATTAATTTATATTAAATTTTGATAGTAAATAAAAATGTTAGTGTCTCTAAGTAAACTACTTTTTAATTCATGAGATTAAGAATCTTGAAATTTATATAGAAATTTTAATAAAAGTTTCAAAACAATTGAGAATATATAGATGGAGACTAGATTTTAAAGACAAATTTTTTTATTAATGATCAATATTTCACAAATTTAATTTGTAACAATGATTGCTAATACCAATGCTTACAATTATATCACAGAAAGTTAACTTTTGTTTCCCGAGAAAGCGTGACTGAAAATAGAAAAGGAAGGTGTGCAACAAGACATACTTCATATATGTCACACATTCATTAATCCATTCTTCCATGGTTTCAACCAGTCATCTTGTTCTGTTCTTTCTTTCCCTTTTGTTAGGATTGCCTCCAACCATCCTCACGAGCCACTCAGGCTTTCCTATTAACAACACACAACATCCTAAGCCCACTCCAAATACCATTCCACATCCATATCCTATAGCCACTGGTTTCCAACCAAATCCAAATTTTTGTTCAAGTTGGAAGGTCGTTGAAGGTGAAGGGAACTGATCAAGAACCTTGTTGCATTCTTTTGACAATGGAGGTCCACATAATCCCACGTTTCCCTCATAGGAATCATTTGCAAATGTATTGAACTGCTTTCCTTGAGGTATTTCTCCCACAAGATGGTTATAGGAAAGATTTAATATTGCAAGGTAATTCAAATTGGTAAATTCTATTGGAATCTCACCAGTGAGCATGTTTGAGGAGAGATCCAATGACTCCAATTCTGCCAAATCTCCCATTGATTGTGGAATAGAACCGACAAGTCTATTATAGGAAAGGTTAAGCCCTTTCAGTGCATGAAGCTGTTTAATACCATTTGAAATTCCCCCGTCAAAATTATTTTTTGATAAATCAATATATACAAAGTTTGTTGGAATTTTCTCGAGTGTGATACTAATCCCTTTTATTGTTTCAGTAACAGAATCATAGACCAGCACATAATTAGCTCTAAATGGTTGTGCTTCAAATCCTATATCTATGTTGATGTATTGCAAACTGCTATCCACTTTACTTTTCATAGCTTTAAAATTTCTTACATAAGCTATTGGTAATGGACCACTGAAGTGATTGGTTGATATATCAAAAATAATCAAACTGGGAAATGGTTGCTTGATCTTTAGATTGGCAACAATACCATGCAACTTATTGGCTCGCAAAACTAGTACTTTTAAATGTGGTAGGGTTTGAAGCCAATGAGGAAATGTATCCTCTATTTGGTTGTTGCCAAGATTTAAAAGCTCTAGTTGTATGCAGTTGGACAACGATTTGGGCAAAGGACCTTCAAATTGGTTGCCATTTAGATTTAGAGTTCTCAGTCCCTTGATCTTTGACAAGGTACTTGGCAAAGTGCCATGAAGTTTGTTGTTGTGCAAATCCAAAACTTGAAGGGATGATAAATTTCCAAGGCATTGTGGAATGGTGCCAATCAACTTGTTATAGGATAGGTTGAGAATCTGAAGGAAACTCACGTTGCAAATTGATGAAGAGATGCCACCAGCCATTAAGTTGAAACTAAGATCAAGGTAACCAAGCGTATGAATCCTTGAGAGTTGGTCCAATGATGTTGTCAATAGGTTTTGAGAGAGATTCAACATATATAATGAATCCATTTCATGAAACCAATCGGGAACTTCTCCAATAATTTTGTTATTGGATAAATCCAGATAACTCAAATTTGGAAATTTTCCTAATGATTTAGGAAATTGGGTTAAATTAACACAAGATAACTCCAAACTTTCTAAGAGAGAGAAATTGTAATTAACATTGGATTCAAAGTTTGGTGATAAATGACTGTTGTGTGAAAAGGAAAGACTTTGAAGATATTGAAGCTTGGAGAAAAGTTCAAAATTAATAGAGCCACTCAAGTTGTTTGATGATAAACTCAAGTCCAAAAGTTTCGCTAGTTTAAATATAGAATCCGGAATATCACCTTGTAGATTGTTATTGCACAAATAAAGAAACTGCAAGGAATATGATGATATTGCACTTATGTGTCCTGAAAAATGATTATATGATAGATCTAAAAATACCAAATTAGGCAAAGATAAACACCATGAAGGAATTGTTTCATTTAGTAAGTTGTTATTCAAGTTTAATGCAGTTAGATTTGGAAACCCTATTATGTTGTCAGGAAAAGGGCCTTCTAATTTATTTGAAGAACAATCCAAGTTAGAGAGTTGAGTTAAGCTAAACAATGAAGATGGAATTCGTCCCTCTAAATTATTAGCCCTGAGTTTTAGAGTTTTCAACTTTGTTAGGCCCCCAAACACATCGGGGATTTTATTGCTAAATTCATTGGATGAAAGATCTAAGTAAGTGAGATGTTGAAGATGTGAAAGTGATGATGTGATTAAACCATTCAGTCTATTACCTGAAAGATCCAAGTGAATGAGATGCTGAAGATTTGAAAGTGATGACGGCAACTCACCTCCAATATTGTTGTTGCTCAAATTTATTTCTTGAAATCTGTTTGACACATGAAAGACATTTGGAATTTGACCACTAAATTGATTATTCTCAAGATACAATGAAGTAAGTTGTGGAAGAGTTAAAAGTGAGGATGGAATTGAACCATTAAGCTTATTCAATGAGAGACTTAAGAAATTAAGATGGGTGAGGTTAGAGAAAAACCAAGGAATTGTTCCTTCAAGGCCACTGCAACTGAGGTCCAGACCAATCACGTGACCAGTTAGGGTGTCGCACGTGACCCCTAGCCACGTGCAACAATCTGTCCCATTCTTCCATGTTTCTAACTTCTGAGTTTGACTGCAAGCATAATCAGTATCAACAGTGATGGAGTTCTTGAATTGAAGTAAGGTTGAGCTCTGGTCATGGTGGCATAATAATGAATGGGAAGAAGAATAAGAAAAGAGTAACACTTGTAAACACACAATCATTCTAAGCAGGGATATGAACCACCCCATGGATGATTTTGTTTTAACAATTCAAACTTTTGTGAACGCTGTTTACGATTTCCTATAAATTTAAAGTGGACGTAGGTAAGGAATGGAACGAAACTGAAGAATATTTATAGCCAAATCAAGACCATTCGATAATGCTTTTGGCATAATCGAGCCGGCATGAAAAATAAACTTAAATTCTTAATTATTAATTAAAAGTCATTAAAATTTATAAGAGTACGAAAAATAAAATTAATTTAAGACAAAAGATGAAATTTATTTAATTTTTGTAATTTTTAATAAATTTTAATTAATAATTAAAAATATATTAAAAGGAATGCATTAGTAGACTTTCTCAACGGATTATTATTGAGTTAACCTATGATACAACCAATACATTTTCCTTTTGATGCAAAATAATGTTAAACGTCTCTTAGGGATTAAAATTTTGAGTTGAAAACTTCAAAATTCTGACACCGCGTGAGACTAATGAGATTCAATATAAAACACATTTGAATCAGTCTTCTGAGTTGAGAGAAGGACTTGTGACTGTGGGACATATGAACCTCGGGAAATTGCCATGAATTTTCAAAGATGATAGAAAATCAATACCAATGCAATAAAACTAAACGCTACTCAATGACAAATAAAGTATGTGTGGTAGATTAAAAATATAAAAAGTATTTCTTTCTCATTTTTAATATAATTAAAAAATTAATAAAAATATTTAGTATTTTTCACTTACACTCGTATGACTTTCATTGTCAAGTATTTATTATGGAAATAAATGGTCTGAATTCTACACCAATGCTTTCAGTACACGCCAAAAGAAATGCCAAATATAATTAAGAAGACGTTTATTGAAACGATTTAATACATTCATTAATAAAATACATTGAATGGTGCGCAAAGTCCCTTTTAAGAGTTATACAAACAGACCATTCATTGTGTTGGACTTAACTTATGTTTCATAACATGGTTTTGAAATATCTTTAAATATTTTTTTAATTAAATTTCTTTGTTTTGTTGTGTTTTTTATAGTTAGTTTGAGTATATTAAATTAGTTATTTAATTTTATTAGTTTGTGAGAAACAAGGTTCATCAAAATGATAATATATATGATTTAACTGAAGTGTAGGTAATTAGTCCATGTATAGAATAAAATGAACCAAAAGCTTTGAGAGAGATACAGAAGTGTAATTACATGAAATGTAAGATGTAGCCGAATAGAATAATATATTATTACTATACCAAAAAGAAAACAATGAAGCCATAAAAATGAAAAGCTTTTCATGAACCACAATGAACACCACATGAGTAAACGTTTACTGATCTATAGACTGACACCAAACAAACCCAAGGCATTGCCCATTCACCAATTGTGTGGAAATTTGTTAGATAAACATAGCTTCATGTCTAAGAAAATGTGTGGCAAACTCTAGCTTGTTCATGTCTTTATCCACCTCCAAATGATGTCTAGAAACTCTTCTTCTTGAATCTTTGCTAGAACTGCAATCCACTGGGCTAGACTAATACTTCATAAATAAAGAACACCAAACCCAAGCAAGGCCATTCTCCGTAAACCTACTAAATAACTAAAAAAAGGCAAACTTTCATGGCAGTAACAATTCCAACCTTCATGCTTCTATACCACAAACACACATTTGTTGCCCCTTCCTTTGCCGCCTACAACGACCAATAACCTATCCTTGTCTCCATATGCCATGAATGAGGCAGTTTCCTGTTTTTTTTTTTTTTTTTCAAGTAATATGTCATTGATTTCTTATTATTAATTTTTTAAATATGATTTTAGAACAAATTTATCAAGTGAATTATTTGCCTTCTTAATTTTTAAAATTGTTTTAAAGACAATGTTATAGAACTAATTCTTTATATCCTTCAATTTTATATTAAGAAAGCAAGGTCCAAGCTGGGCACATGTTGCATTCCTATCAAAAAAATCTCTGCTCAAACATTAAAAAAAACAAAAAAGGAACTTAATTATGAAACAAACAAAAATTAAATCCTTACCATTTGATATCTTTCGCTTCCTCTCTCCCTCCCTCTCACCAAAGCAAGAGAAAAAGATTGGATAAGTAAAGCTTTAAATCATTAAATTAAGCAAATGACACGTCTTTTTTCCCCACTTTAAATCCTTTAATTACTATTTTCTATCCAAATATTTAAAAGATCATGATAAATTTAAAATAATTTCAAATGCAAAAATAACGTTTTAAATGATAATTTTCAATATAAGACAATTTATTTAACTTAGTTTGTACAAGTAGAATTGTAAATTTTAAGTTATAAGAAATCAACAAAGGATTAAATTTGTATAATTTGAAAACAAGAGAAAGTTAATATACTCAAAAAATTTAACAAAACCACAATCATACATGCCAAACTAGAGGCCGAAAAAGCATTAGACTTTACTTGTGATTAAAAATTATAATTTAAAAAACTTTTCATCTTTTTTATAATTTCACCAATCAGATATTATCCTCCAGAATGCTCTATAAGATTTTCAAAAGATTTTAAGTTATTTTGGTTGAAATTCTCGCTGGTACAACATCAAATTCAAATCGAAAAGATACAACTAAAGCCCAATCCCAGTAAGCTGAAAAAACTATCCATGTCCATAGAAATTTACAATAGGTTACACAACCACTGTGAAAGCCAACGACGCACCGGTGATTGAATGATATTGCTTTGGTCGCCCGGTGATTGAATGATATTGCTATTCCATCATTAACGTGTATATTTGATCACCCTATTCTTCAAGTATAGCACGACCAAGATTTGTAGCCAGAGCAATCCTAATAGAGCTTAGTGCATCAGGAGGTAAGCTAGGCTCCGTGAAGTGTGGGCGCTGCCTCGCCAAGGATAACTCTTGAAGTTTGTTCAACAGAAGATTGGTCTCGGATACAGTTAAAAGAGGACAATCCTGCCAATTAAGCAGTTTCAACTGCACCCAAAGGAAACAAGGAAGGCAATCATATCGTCAAGAGTAAAATAAACACACGTCACGTAAAATACAATGGCTAGAAATATAACACGCAAAAATCAATGACATCACATGAGAATCAACCACGATACGAGATAAACAAAATAGATGGGATGATTTATTTGCTCCAGTGGTGAAGCATCAATCAAGAAAACTAATGATCAAGGAGGAAATAACAAGGTATTAGAGGTAAGAAGATAATTGCATAAACAATAACATTCAGTATAAAAAAGCCATGAGACTACATAATTAAAAGAACCTGCAGTTAAAGCATGAGCCAAATGATATTTATTAAAAAAAGTTAATATGAGCAGCTTAGCTAAAAGTGGGCAGGCTAGATACATTTCAAAATATCAATTTGACTATCGCTACAATATTCTCAACCTAATGCTTTCACTGGTTCCACTTACTGCATACTGAAAGAATCCACGATTATACTGAAGCATTTTAAAATACGCTCACCGAGTCATACAGAAGGGGCAGCCAAAAGCGCTGAGGAGTCGATGGATTTTTCAGAAGCTGCAGAATGAAAACTGTATTATTTTTCACAGTAGTAAGCTGACTAATAGAACTGGATCAGAATTTCATTAAAGAATAGAACTTTTATTGATAAAATTGCTCTATCTCTTGGTCTCCTTCCAGGGGATGAGATCAAAGGTCATAGTACAAGGAACAATGTTGGAACAACTGAATGTGAATGCTGCATAGTGCATGGCTATCATAATACAGGATATTTGAGATTTCTGGGCTCTCCTTTTCCTTTCGTCCCTCTAACAAAAAACTGACTCCTAACTTACTGTGTCTTTATATTCCTAATTACAGGTATCAAAATATTATGTCTAATAGAAAGTTTTTAACAAAATTGAATCATATAACAAGGTGTTGCCAAACAGATCATATATTTGTATAGCACAAAAAGAATCCCAACAAGTAAAGGGACTAGTTTGAATGATTTTACTGGAGCCAAGGTAATGAATTGAAGTGTGTTTGTAATACCAGTATTAGGGACCCTATAGCATGCCTGGCAGCATCAGTTGATTTTCCACCAGATACCTGCTGAAGAGATTTCTTGAAATCCCTATACCTGATATTTGACATTTAAGAAATGTAAGACAAGAAAACAAGATGAAAATACAGTGAATAGCACATTCATACTTGTGCAAAAATTCAAGACCCCCAGCAGGCTTAGACTCTGAACCCAATAGTTCAATTATGCCTTCCCATTGCTGTAAAAAAAATGGATGAAGTTAGAAATCTAAATAATTATCAAGAAAAAATAATTCATAGCTAAGAATAAATAAATATATATATATAGGGACAGAATCTTCTTATACCAGTGTAAGTCTAAAAACTCTTACACTCAATTTGAGTCTTTCAATCAACTTACATCTAACGAGATTATAATTTAGTACTTCACTGGCTGTTAGATGTAAGTTAAATGAAAGATTCAGATTTAGTGTAAAAAATTTTATACTTACACTGGTGTAAGAAAATCATTCTCCATATATATATATATATATGAAAATCTTTCAGCAAGTTGTTTATGGAGTATTATGAGACTACCTTGAAGCTTTCATCAGATATTGACTTTCCAACAGAATCAAATAACTGTTGAGCAATCCTATCTAGACAACTTGCATCTTGGGCTTGTTGAAGCCAGTATACTCCAGCACCCTTACGACCATGCTTCCAGTGATATACTCCAGCAATCTATATATTTCTTATGCATGTCAGTAAACTAGATTATGAAAGAACGGTAAAGATTTTCTAATCCACAAGCTTTCTGCACACAATCAAGAGGTGCAGATTACCTTCATGATATTTGAACTAATAAGATCAAGCTCATACAAACGGCATATCTCAATGTTCTGCATAAAAATGATTTGTCAGTCACTCAAGCATATAAAAAATATACTAAACCATGAGGATATGATTAGTGAGACAAATAACAACAAACAGGTAAGAAGCTAAAACAGTTACCTTAAGCAACACTCCATTATTTTGAACAGATTGCCTGCACAATAAATTTTCTAACAAGCCCATTCCTTGCTTCATGCATGATGTTAAATATATTGGAGCTATCTGCAGATATGTGAACAATAGAACATAGGAGCACCAGATAAGATTACTTGCACAAAATATCATTGTAGTACTGATAAAATTGTAATTTCA